CAACATTTACGTAACATAGGAAAGGATTGAGAAAGGATTATGGAGAGGAACTTCTTAATGTGAGTGTATAGAATATGCGAGAAAAAATTATTAGATAGCTCGGACTGGGATGGATAAACAAATAATTTATAATAATTATAATAATAATTATAATAAATTAATAATTAATAATTAGTAGTTAATAATTTATAATCATTATTATTTGTTAACAAATATAAATAATGCTGTGAAGCGGGAAAGAATAGGAGTTACGGATAATTATTACGTGAAGCGTTCCAACATTCACGTAACAGGATAATTGGTAGGAAAGGATTGAGAAAGGATTGTGGAGAGGATCATCTTAATGTGAGTTTATAGAATATGCGAGAAAAAAAAATTATTAGATAGCTCCTCAGTTATTATTATTATTATTGTTATTATTGTTATAGCTTACCTCTCGGAGTATCAATAAAATGAACAGCAAATAAGTTTTCATGATTTTGTTAAGTAGTTAATTGTTTTAAATTTAAAAATAAAGAATTAACGTGAAGGAACAGTAAACTTTGCCGGACGATCGGTAGACTAAGACTGAAGAGTATCGAAGAGTCAGTAACGGTTTAAGGTCTTCGGCATTGCCGCCGGTATCTGACAAACACATAGATTTATTCAAGACAACATGAGCATGTATTTATACCTATACATTTGTTTATCCATCCGTGTATTTAAATATTCGCATCTTTTAATCGGTGCACGTTATACACACTCGCTCGTACTCGTATATACATGTAATATATTTTGTCTTATATCCTCTATTCAATTCTTTAGACATTCCTTTTAGACTGTTGACTGTTTAGCATCACATATTTATTATTATGATTATGATTATATTATGGGATATGAATCAACTCTACCTACGAATTTGCAATGTAAGTTCAAGTTCTTCGCTGAGATATTTTAATTTTAAATTATTAATTATAATGATTTAATTTAATTTATAATTCAACGATTGCTGATAAAAATAATATGTTCAATAGTTTTTTTTTTTACTTAAAGGAGTAGAAGTACATTGAGAAAAAAATTGAAAAGTCAATAATAGTAAAAAAAAGTAAATCAATAACGATGTACTATATATTTTAAAATTTTCCATATATATGAGTATATAAGGAGGAAAATTCTCGAGGTTAAAACTTGACGACCTCGAGTGTTCAATTTTCCAGTACTCTAAAGCAATTTGAATAGTAAAAAGCGTGAAAAGCGAGCTGAGAGAAATGGTTCAATAAAAGAAGTAATACAAAGTAAAGTGATCTTGAGGAAAAGACAATAATCGTTAAATAGTAAAGCATATGGGAAAATAACTCTAAGCTTAACGCCCGTGTTGCAAATAAAAACTTCAATTTATTTCGAGTATTTTATTTTTTTAATCGTTACAAATAAAAGTAAAATTCCATGGGGTATATTGCCGCCAGTTGTTTCAAGGCAAGTCACTACAGGATTTCAAGTGATGACGCCTGACCGGTTTATGATTTTTGTTGCTATTATTTTTTTATTTAATTTTATCATTTATATTGTTGTACTTTTATGTCTTTTTGTGATAATATCTTTCGTAATTAATGTTAGAAATTTTTTGAAATAAATAAATTTTTTAAAATATTCTAAGACTGAATAATATAATGGAAATATTATTCAGTTATTAAAATTAAAAGTTTTCTACTTGAAAAAAAACTTATAAAACTGAGAATGAAAATACAAACTTTTGGCGCTCATCTTGAAGTGAAACTTAGTATTTCGTGATACAAATATTGTATAAATTATGTGTCAGGTGGCGCTATATTCGTATTATGCTACAGTATAATAAGTATATAGAAAGTAACACTTTTCTCTCCTCCGGGCGGAAAATGTTAACTTTCGTCCCGCTGCGCTAAACGAAGATGCCGCTTTCCGCCTCCGTCGAGCAGAAAAATAGTATACACACCTCGGGTAGGAAATAAGAAAGCCTCAAATCACATGTTTGTAATTGGCCAACAAATTACGTGTGATCTGAGACATTTCTTACTTTTTTGCCCTAGGTGAGTAATATACTACACTGATAAAAAAATTAACTTGACTCAAGAGCCAAAATCTTGAACCAAGAATACCATTTTAAAGAAAATGATTTTCTTGACTTCAGAGAATAAATTATTGAGTCAAGAAATTATTCTTGATTTAAGTAAATTTTTTTTGTCTCAAGAATTTGTTCTCTTGACTCAAGAATAGTATTTTTCTTACCTGGGGCAGGAAAATAAGAAATGTCTCAGATTATATGTAATTGTTGACCGAGGCGAAGCCGAGGTCGACAAACATGTGATCTGAAGCTTTCTTATTTCCTGCCCGTGATGAGAATACTATTTTTCTCCTCGACGGAGGCGGAAAGCGGCATTTTCGTTTAGCGCAGCGAGCAGAAAATTGACGCTTTCCGCACGGAGGGGAGAAAAATCATTTTCTTCAAAATGGAATTCTTGATTCAAGATTTTGGCTCTTGAGTCAAGTTAATTTTTTTATCAGTGTATTATACTACTTCTTCTTTTCAATTCAATTGTTTTTAAAGAGAGAGAGAGTTACCAGACAGTTGATTTAAAAAAATTATTGATGTTTCATTTGAAATTAAATATTGTTATTATGATTTCTACGTGGATAATAATTAGTAAAAATATGAACTTTTTAAACAATCAAGTATCAACAATATTAAAACCACTGGCATTTTTCACAAGAATGTGGTTAACACATGTTAACCGACTAATTAATTTTGGTGTACTAAAACCAATTATTCAAATTAAAAATATAATGCTACTTGTTACGCAAAACCTTTGTACTATCTTCTTAGCATACTCACATTGTTTGTTTTTTTTTTTTATCACATTCTTTTTGAATAAATGTAAAAGATGTTTCGTAACGTGATTTGATTTGATTCAATACGGGCACCCTCATAAGATATAAGCTTAGAGGAAGATCACTTTGGAAAAAACTTATATATATATACCGTTGGAATACTCGGTGACGCTTTATTAATACCTTTTATATTGAATCGAGATTCATCATACAAACTTCCAAAGTTTTATTTCATATTTGTTATTTCTCATTAAACTACAATGAAGAAAATAATATTAATATTTGTTTTTGTCTTCTGTTCTCCGACGGTAAGCTTTAAATAGTTAAATACTAATTTTTAATACAAAAAATTATTCTATTTAATGTTTTTTTTTTTTTTTTTTTTTTTTTTAATCTCTATTATATTTTTCAGTGTATTGAAATAGAATCTAAGCCAGTGGAGCGTTCGATTGAGCGCTCAAATGAAGTAGGCCAAAATTACAGAATGTCTCAATCGAAAAGTATTGAAAGTAATTTAGCCCAGGCATTGTCGTCAATATCGAAAATAATACAACCGAGAAATCTACCAGAAAATGAGAAAAACGGTACCAACACCAATATTCAGCCAGTATTTAACGAAGAAATCGCGTCGGTATCGAACAATTTACTTACGAATTTTTTTTATCCACTGCTGTCAAGATTTCAATTTTCGCCACAAGAATTTTTTCAGGATAGTTTAGGCTTTTTGAAAGACACTATTACCAAATTAAGTTCGATTTTTCCAGCTGACACAACACAAGCCAGACAATTTACAAATATGAATGGACTAGCGAATTTTATTGGGCTGGATGATCATGGATTTTATACAGACAGACTCGAACCCGCGGGTCTTCTCGGCGGCAATGGCTGGTTTGCCAATAAGGGAGGATTATTAGGTGGTCCAGGTGCTATTTTATCTACCGGACCCATTCTAACGGATTATCCTACGCCCTATAAAAAAAAATAACCAGTAAATATTGACCATTATTTCTAATCATACTAGCGTTAAGAGGGTGATTTTTTTTTATTTATATGACACAGTAGTAAAACTTTTTTTATTAAAAAAATTAAGTGTTTGTAAAATTATTTATAGTGATTAGTTAAAAAAATTTTAATTTTTTGTTGAAAGTATTAATTGTTTATTATTCAAATATTTTATTTAATTATTAATGAAAACTATGTAAGAGTAATTGAATAATTATAATTATACGATTATCTCTGATGTTTCAATAAATTTTTAAAATGAAAACGTTATAATGTGGCAATTCAATGCTGGTGAAGACATTAATGTTCTGCGGGATAAGATTTGTTTTATGGAATACGTCGTTAATTTTAACTGTAAGATAAAAATATTATACTTTGAATGCTATGAATATTTTTATGCAGTGTAATAAAATATTATTACATCTTAATTTATAGTTACACTAATGCAATTTTTTTCTTGATTTATGTGATGCAGAAGTAATTATTCTCGAATATCTTGGAGAACTGAGAATAACTAATATATATTTGAATTGTTCTTATAATCACTAAAATGTTTGAGTATTTTTAAAAATTCATAAAGCTATTCAGGAATTTATAGAAATTTAGTTATTTTGTTAATTCTGCGAATTTTAATATTTTTGAATTGTTGGCACATATTTTGAGACACTTTAGGAAGATAAATGGTGTTTTTTCCAAAAAATTTTCAAACCTGTTTTAAACCATGAGAAAATTGATTTATATTTTCCAGAGCTGTTTTTAATTTTTTAGGTGATTTTCAATGTTTGAATTATTTTGGAAAATTCTATAACAAGTCACTATAAAAATTTATGAATTATCATAAAGATCTGACAAGAAAGGGATTTCCCAAAATCGAGCAGTCAATAACTTCCTAATTTTTGAAAATTAGTAATTTTCACAGTGAAAAATTAACAAAAACTAAATACGCTTCATATGAGACCGTAAAATAAACTTTTACAAAAAAGCATGTAAATAAGTTAAAAATATCTCTATTAGCGTTTATTCAATCGCCTGTTTTACTAACTACCGCAATAGAGCATTAAAACCACATTAAAAATAAAAATTCCAAGTTTTTAATCGACGGAATTAGACATTTTATTGTAAAAATAACCATTATTTCAACGCACTAACGAACAAATAAATAAACAGATAATAATGTTGATGTAATATAAATTACTCTGAAACACAACATAGGCTACATTGTAATAAAATGATGGGCTCATTCACCCTATCATGAATGCATAAATAAATGTGTGACTTTTATAGAATGTGTAATAGTATTTATTTTCAATTCCATTTCATCCAGCTGCAGTATTAACATATTACATATCATATCGCCTTATTGGAAATGACAACTAACATTGAATTCTTTTCAACCATTCAAAGGTGAATGAAAATTTTTCTCTACGTCATGACAAATTCTTTGCTCGATGTTATTGCTCTTAAGACATAAATAACTTTATATAAAACTTGTCAAACAAATTTTAGTTTTTATCTCAATAGTGGATTTTTGCTGATTTGAAGTTGAGAAAATTGAGTCAATATATACATTTACTGATAGAAAAATTAACTTGATTCAAATAAAAAAATTTTGAACCAAGAAAATTTTTAAGACATTAAAGACAAATTTTCTAGATAATTTTTTTGGTTCAAAGTTTTTATCTAAGTAAATTTTTTTTTAATTTGTGAATAAATAAAATCTTTTTAACAAAAAAGTCAGTTTTTGATTGAAGTCAAAATTTCAATTATTTACTAATTAAATTTTTTCCAAAATATTTTTTTTTACACCGTAAATTCCGAAATCTTGTACAAGATTTAAATTTTTAAGACTTTTTTACAGTGGATTTAATAATAAAATGAAAATAAAGCCACAGGATTATGATATAAAGTAATGAGGATAGGAAGAAGTGGTTACTTTATTTTTTATCACCGTAATCATATGATAACAAATAAATTTTTACTGGATCGGATAGGAGTAAAGGTAGTATCGTCATATTATTATTATATTATATATTATATATAAAACGGAAGTGAATCCGTCAGAATGGCATAGCGACGTCGCGTTGACGGTGGAGGAGGACAGTGCTAGGAGGGGAAAATGACGAGTATTATCGGGTGAGGTGGGGATGACACGAAATCACCGTGCCAGTCGACCGTGGGAGTTTACCGGTAACGGTCCAGTTGAATGTTGTCTTGCTCTATAAATAATAATAAAAAACAACAAAGCAAAAACAATAATAAATAACAAAATGACAAGAAAAGAATGTTGGATGAATGTCGAGTCCTGGTGCCATCCGAAGACACGGTAGTAGCTGTCATATAATTTATTTATTTTTTCATTTTTCTAATTAATAAATTATAAATTAATAATCAAAATTACTGAAGCGTGTTTTGAAAATAAATTGATTAATTATAAGTATAATTAACAATTATAATCGATTATTGGTTCGTCCGATAATTTAATAGTATCGATAATCATGATAAAGTGAATTAGTCGGTTATTAATTTTGGTTTATAAGCTATTTACACCGAGCGAGTGATTAATTACAGGCGTGGAAAATTATGAGCATATTTATATGTGATAATTTCGTTGGTCGTAGAAATTATTTTAGCGTTAAATTTATCTAAAATTTTTAGCTGATAGTTCCAAGGGTTAGTTATTTGTAAATAATTTAGAAAAATTAATAGTCGAAAGGATTTATAATGAAAATAAGTAATGGTGAATTAGGTAAGAGCATGTGCTATAGAATAACATATGTGGTAAGATGCTTGATCTTGAGATTACACCAACGACGTGCGAATTGGATAAGGGGTTGACGGGTTCTCTCAATACTAGCAAAGGGTTGATTTTACTGGCCTTGAGAATAGCGCCGGCAGCTTTTATATAGGAGATATCAGTAGAGGGAGAATCCAGTTCAAGCATGCGCTTTTCGATATTACAATAACAATTATACGCGGGTTTTAAACTTGCATTGTAATAGTTTAATTTTTAGAGTAATATTAATGTAAATTATTGTTTAATTTTAGGAATATTATTTTAGCTAGGTTCCATTGAATTACTCATTTAATTACTTATGTGATGTTAATTTAGTATTGTGTTATTGCATGCCCAAAGTTTCGTGTGAAAGGGTTGTTAGAGCTATTCAACTACAATAAACTGTCACGTTAGGTAATTTCATTGATAATTGAAGATTGTTGAGAGTTTGAAATATATACGAGTGTTTTATTGTGTTATGGCTTCACGATACACTCTAAGAAAATAAATCAATTTTCTCTGCATATTATATACTCTATTGTGTGCACTCACGATATACATATTTCAATATTTTTCATCGTGCATTTATTGCTCTTTTTTTTTTTATTCAAATTTATGAGAAGAGAGTCAATAAAGACTGATCAATTATGCGATCGAGATCTATTAAATCAATGTTAGAATTTTTGGAGCCTTAAGTTAGTTTTAAAAATTTTTGAAGTTGATGTTGACAAAAGTAAATTGATTTAGGCGAAAGACTCTTGAATTATGAGAAAAATTTTTAAGAGTTTCCTCGTTTTAAATCAAGACAAAAAACTTTTGAATCAAGTAAAATTTCTAGTTTAATAATTTTGTTCAAATAAAATTTTCAATAAAATAAATTGTGTGGTTCGAGAGTTTTTCTCTTTGATCACGTTAACCTTTTTTTTCAGTATTGAGATTGAAAGTTGAATAGAGGAAAATGTTAAAGTCTTTTTACACTTAAAACCTAAATTTAAATCGGTCGATTTTACCATCTTTTGTATCCATCATTAAACTTAATTACAATAAACGCTTGGAAAAAAATTTAATTATGATTTGTTTATAAACATTACCTGCAATCAAATTTTGTTCTATTAGATTCTTAATCAAAATTATCAACTAAACTCTAATTAAACTAATTATGAGGTAAAATAAAGAATGTGAAATATTTATTTAAAAATGTTAGATATTTCTCAATTTGAATTTCCATATAGATTATCCACAAGACCAGAAACAGGTAGTGATATTGAGATTATAACATAATTAATAACCGGAAATTGTTTGATATGTCGATATAAGATCGAGCGAGCTTGAATAGGGAATTGAGTTTACTTTCGTTATACTATAGCGTATACAGTATACGTATATAGACGACTGTCAAGAACACTTTGGTCTATTGAGGAGAAATTAATCAATCAGTGACAAAGACAAACTTTACGCTCGATATGCACATTTAAATATTTAATCATTTATCATTTGTAGACCTACGAATCAATCAGCTGAGATTAATTTGATTGCTTTTTCCCACACGAGCATTCATTTTTAACAATATTATTATCATCTTTTTAACATGAAAGTTTATCAATCATTTTCAATCTCTTGAGGTTTTGGATTAAGTCCGTCAATTTTCTTGATTTATCCACAGTCATGAAGAATATAAAAAAAATTTACTCAAAGTGTGTAAACAATTCGTGAAGCTTAGCATATTTATTCGCAAGTGGATAAGCTTTGAACACTTTGAACAGCTCTTTAATATTTTTATTTAAACTTTTATTTTACATTTCTTGTCGGAGCTTTTGAGAATTTCTTAACGTCATAACTTTACTCGTGTCAAAAACTAGCTGTACAACTTTAGTGGTATCTTATTAATTTTAAGCTTGACAATACATAAAATTTTGTTTCACATAAGTAATAAAATTAAGATTAGAAGTATTAGCTTAAGTATAAAAAATTTTGTATTATTCATAAATAATATAATTGAAATTTGAAGTGTAGCTTAAGTAAATAAAAAATTTCGTACATTCAGAAAGAGTAGTATGGTTACAATTTTAATTATCTTAATATATATTTTTACACTTTACCAGTATTTCTCACTAATTAAAATATAAATCTAGCCAATCTAAACTTAAAAGAAAATCGAATAGCTTGGATTTAAATGACTCTAAGCTAAGAGAATTTGGGATTTTAGGTGG